CCATCTAGATTTTCGGAGGGTCCAAGGTTTAAATCCCGGTCTGGACGTGTTTTTATCTTCTCCTATCAGTTTCAACATTGAATCAATGTTGCCAAGACATCTGGAAGATACATACTTGTCAACTTAACCAATTTTGAAGCAAGTCTCTTGACTTTCGACCTTTAAATTTAACATTTCCATCCAGTAAATTTCCTAAAGTAATGATTTTATCTGAAAAACATCTGAAAAGATGCCATTTCATAGTGAATTTTGTTCCTCTAGGGATATCCACACCTCATTTATGTTTTTTATTTTGAACACACAGTATCTTTCCCATGGAAATTTGCGAAAGTTGTCAAGTATAAAGGTGTAAAAGATGTGCATTGATTAGGTTGCCTTACAAGCGTCAGCTATAGGGAACTTCCCCTTAAGCTCAGCGGTTAAGAGCATCAGGCGGCTGGAGAGTCAAGGGTCGACGGTTCGCGTCAGCACTATTTTTATCACGTTTCCTCGTCCTATTACATAGGTGTCAGCTTTAGAACACGACATCAGGAAATGATGTCTTTAAACTTCAATTTTCAATATCTTTCCAGTCATAATCCAAATATATTGGAATCTGACTTCAATATTTCACCACGATATGCTGATACAAAATTTAGTGTTGGGTAGCAAGCATGTGTAACCAGAGACATAGAAATATAATGCCAGATACATATTTGTCTCTAGGATTGGAGGGGTGGCTTTCGCACTCTGTACTTAATTTTACAGTGTTTGAGATGTGTTCCTCCACTCACTGACCAGTGTAACTAAATGTGTAGCCCGAATTCCTCTGGCCCTAACACCAGGCTTTGACATTTTGACATATATACATGTATGTCTGGTGTTTGGCCAGAGCGCACTGCTATATAAAAACCGTGGAATTCCCCGACACTTTGGTACCTGGGAGTGACTAATCAACATGATGCAGTCCGGAAATCTTCTAAATGAGAACAATATAGTCTGTTTCGACATTTTCGGTCCGGTTCAGTACGGTTTGTTGATAGTCACCCCATGGCCATGACCTACAGAAATGGTGTTCGTTCAGGAGGGAAATTTTTAAACGATTGAAAATCAAGGACTCTACTGACAGAATTTAGCAGCTGTTGGTGATAATAAGAGCTGATTTGGATCAATGAATAATACATTTATCGATATATGTGAGATATGTGTTTTGTCATAGTAGATTTTTGTTGTCGAACAGCACATCATAACTCTCTGATACCAAATTATATCGGAGAATTCCACGTTTTTATATATATTATGCAGTGCGCTCTGGCCCCGCACCAGACATCGATATGTCAAAATATCTAAGTCTGGTGTTAGGGCCAGAGGAAACTAGGGCTACTAAATGTGCTAATATACTTATGAACAGTAGCTATCGATAGTTCTGTAAAATGTAGGCCTATATCAAATCAATCAAAGTTTAATTCAATCGAACAGCACATTAGAACCTAATTCTGCAAAACCTCTGAAATGATGAATTTAGTGAAATCCAATTATAAATTTTAACCAATTAGCCTAATTACAGTGTTAACTTCTAAGCCTAATTGACATAATAACTCCGAATTCATAGATATTTTGTATTGTATTTATGTCATAAACATAGAAACAGAAATGCCATAAGCTGAGTGTTTAGACGTAAAAATATGCCCCTTTCAGGAGTGAATACGAAGGGAGCATGACTGGGTATGCCCAAATCATGTCGTAGTTATTTCTGACTCCGAGATCAGCTGTTTCGTGACAGTCCGTTTAAAATACACGTAACGTTGACATAAAATACTCACCAGACAGGAAATTGGGTCAGACTATCTTCTTCGTGTCACAACTGTGTATACTATGTGTCAAAACAACGATATTTCTCCCCACTTAAAACTCATGGCAACTTGCTGAAGTTTGTTCGAAGTTTGTGACACGTGACGTCACGAAAGCGGAAGAGAGGTGACACGGTTCGGAAGTAACCACGAAAAGGGGGCGTGGCCAAACAGAGAGTTAAAGGGACACACATTAGGACGACAAAGATTGTCTACATTACAACTCGAGACGCATGTTATACGTTCATTTACCTGATTATTTGATATGATACCAAACCACACACATGACACAACAGTCACGCATCAGAGAAATATAACTTAATATAGGCCTAGTCCATGAATCCTCATTACATGTACATGTATCTGGTGTCTTGTCTTAAAAATCACCGTTGATCAATTAAATGTTTCTTTTTCTTGTTTCTTACCACACCCTAATGGCGATTTTATTTTTCAAATCAGGTTTTTTTTGTGACTTATACATATATATGTATACACTGTATACGTACTGTCTATATAGTTTCATCTTAACCTCAAAGCACTGCGTGTGAGCAGAGACGTATAAAGCCATCTCTTTATATTGTGGTATAACCTGGTACACTGTTGGTATATAAATGCGAATGATCTAAGTACAGAATAAATATCTATATAACGTAATTTAAAGTACACTGTTCGTACCCATGTACATTAAATTGTGATGTAATTAAAAGTACACTGTTCGTTTTTGTCTCTATATGAATATGTTCGGATATAAAGCACATTGTAGATGTACATGTATTTTGTACATTGTTTTCTAATTTAAGTACCTGAACGTTTAAGTATTTTATTTTAGGTCACTGTACGCACCTGTCAATTTAAAAGTCATTTTAAACGCACATCATGCACATCGCTCTTCACGATTAAGACAATATCCGAACCTATCTATGGTTTAATTGCAACAGAATACATATTATTATAGGAAAAGAATCTTCAAAGGGGGAAACTATTTCACCCTCTTTAGAAACTCCTGCAAGTACGAGGAAAAAATTGGCCTGATGTATTACAGTATATCCTACTGCATGTTGCATGACAACCTCGATTCTCAAGGGGTTACGCTCACTTTCGCTCTCTGCACACCTGGAATATGTCATAGCAAATTGAAGGCATGTGGCTAGCTATTTGATAGGTCTCAGGTAAAAAAAAAAAAAGCCTGACAAAACACTAGGCTGATACCTGTCATTTTAAAGATTACAGAAGAGCGACACACGACTTCAAAATCCGTCAATTTTACCGTTACGCGCCCGCGAGATTCTTTATTATTAACGATGTGGTGCACACTAAGCCTTCAATTTTGCTATAATTTATTCCAGGGGTGCAGAGAGCGAAAGAAAGCGAAACCCCTCGAGTATCGAGGGTGGTCGTAAGAGAGCTAGGTGACTAATTTGGACCCCTGAAGATCGAATCGGTGGTTTACTTCGACGTCGTCTATTTAGGGGACATCGAAGAAACAGATTGATCTGCTGTTCCCATTGCAACTCTTGCATCGGATATATATTCTTTCTTTTCTCACTTCCATATTCTTTCTTTTCTGACCTCTCTATTTTTTTCTTTTCTCACCTCCCTATTCGTTCTTTTCTAACTTCCCTATTCTTTCTTTTCTCACCTCCCTATTCGTTCTTTTCTCACTTCCCTATTCTTTCTTTTCTCACCTCCCTATTCGTTCTTTTCTCACTTCCATATTCTTTCTTTTCTCACCTCCCTAAAAAAATCTCACCTTCCTATCTTTTCTTTTCTCACCTCCCTATTCTTTCTTTTCTCGCCTCCCTATTCGTTCTTTTATCACTTTCCTATTCTTTCTTTTCTCACCTCCCTATTCGTTCTTTTCTCACTTCCCTATTCTTTCTTTTCTCACCTCCCTAAACAAACCTCACCTTCCTATCTTTTCTTTTCTCATTTCCCTATTCTTTCTTTTCTCACCTCCCTATCTTTTCTTTTCTCACTACCCTATTCTTTCTTTTCTCACTTCCCTATTCTTTCTTTTCTCACCTCCCTATTCGTTCTTTACGGCAGTGTCTTCCTTCGCACCCGTCACGAGTCATATTACCTTTGCGAGTAAGTTAAACCCTGAACAGACGAAAACCTTCGTTGGGGTCAGGACGTAATGGAAATCACACACATGATACTGGCCATATTTGAAGCGTTATATATATCTGCCTCTTTTGTAATTACTTTTTTAGATATGAAAAATTCTAATGCAGCATGGCCAACTGAAGTAAAACATCGATTTGCGAAAAGAACGAATCGGAATCACTACGTTGAAAAATATTGAGCTTTCTAACTATATCCAGAGACATATTGAACACTGGCGAGTATTTGCTTTTGTTCTTTTTTTAATAGCAAAAAATATTGACAGCGAATTTCAATAGCAATATTGATATTAGTCTATGAATAATTTATCAAACTTTAGTAGAATCTACGTGTTTTTATTTTTATATAGGATATTTCAAAATTTGAATTAGGGAAATGTGTATTTCCTTCGTGAATTTGGAAATTAAATCAGCCTTTCTGATCAACTTTGAAGGTTGATGATTTGTTTGAACTTTGAACACGAACGTTGGTCACGTATCCAAATTAGTACAGCTACCATGCTTTAATAAATTAGTTACAAACCAATACTGCTATTGAGATTAGCCAATTGTATTTTCCATCATCTAAATGACATCTTAAAAAAGCAATATTGACGGCAATTGAATATCTTGATTTTCAAATCAATTATTCCAATGCAACTTTTAGATATCTATCTATATTGTAATTTATTGGGTCTTGTTATACTTTTCATTTTCCTTACTCCGAATGCTTCAGAACAGTCAGATATTACACCTCAAAGGTGCTATAAGAGTGGATTTGAAACAGGTCTTTTCAGAACTATTGTGTGAAGGGAAACAACTCTTTTTTATGAAAACATTTAATTAATATGGTGAGAACAATCGTTTAAAAAATCGTTGTATGTTATAATGAAATAAACACTTCTCAAATACATTGAAATAAAAATAGAATTTTGTTTCATTAATGATAAACATCTAAACAATTTCAAACCGTTAACAGTGCACGTTTTTATTCTGCATGTACTAGCGGTTCACATCAAGCACATGGCTCAATTGGCTTTGCTTGTGTAAAGTAACTCCAAGATGGCGACTCCCATGTACACGTGTTGGTGAAGATATCTTCAAATCATTTTTCTAAAAGGCGATTAACTGTGATTTATATATTTTCCAGTTTCAACATGAAGAGAAAACAGAATAATCAGGACACCGACCCTGACAAGGTTCGTTTATCATTAGAATCGCATCACTACACGGTTCTGAACATTTGTAAACAAACTGGAAACGTGGTTTCTGTTTTATTCACAAGTTCGGATTTCGGATCGATTTGCCAGTTAACTTGCTTCCAGTTATGACAAACAACAACACTTTTTGCATGTGTATCAATTATGGGTTCTTGTGAGAAACTATATCCAAACCCCTGTAGTTTTCTTGCTGCAATTGTCCATTCCAAAAAAGGATGCAGTAAATTGATATTTTCTACAGGAGTTTGAATTTAGTTTATGCATGTATTAGAATTTAGATGAAATATAGATACACACACATAAACAATCTAAAAACAGTTATTTCACCCATATTCATGAAAGACTTTGCCTGTAAAATTCTAACTCCCATGTTTTTCCACAATGAAATCACAGAACTTTGTAAATGTAAATAAAGTGTAGTATTTAAATCTAGTGTAGAGAAATATACGTTTTAAATGACATAAAAATTGAAATTAAATTTATCTCTTAAATAAACAGAACAAAAAACACCAGAAAACGGATGACGACGATGAAGACAGCGAGGAGTTGGATGATTTTGATGCAGATGAAGACAGCTTACAAAGTGATGTTGGAGATGAAAGTGAAGATGATTTTGAAGATGACATAGACATTGATTCAAAAATGCAATCATCAGATGCAATTGACACATCTTTATCAACAAAAATCAGCAAAAAAAAATTGTTCAAGCCTCCCACTAATGATGAGCTGAACCAGCTGAAAGAGACTGAGAACCTCTACCACTCAAGTCTGTTTCGTATGCAGGTAATAACAAAAAAAAAGTTTATACATCTTTGTTTTGTTCATTAAAATGTATGATTATGATGAATCCTAGATTGATTCACTAAGCTGCATTAATTTGTAAGAATAGCTAATATAGGGGTTTTGCCAAGTTTATACATTGTGTAGGGTCTGGTAACAGGGACCCATTCCCAATTGAAAAATGACCCGGCATTTTCCCAATTTCAGTTTTTATTTTCCCAATTGGATTAAAAAGCATGTTTATTCAAGTTTCCAGTCGTTATATGTGCAACATTCAAAATATTACCAGCAATGTAGAAGCATTCAAAATACATAAATAACGGAAATTTGAATTGATGTGTTTATTTATTGCTATAATTTTTATTCTAAGAAACAGGTAAAAGAAATTTTGCTAATCACATTGCAGGTTTTATTTTTTCCAAACTTTTGATATTTTCCCAAACCTGTACATTTGGGAACACTGATGATATTTCCCAATTTTTGCCAAATGCCAATGATATTTTCACAATTACTGCTCAGGGCCCTTTCCACAAAAATAGCTGGCAAAAACGTAACCCTGTAATGCATGTATATTGTGTTAAGTTGTGAACAATTAGTAACACACACTACATATGTTTATTTGTTTCTGGCAAGTACAAAATGTATTACAAGTTATTATAAATATATATTAAGTACATGATAAATGTGTTATTTCAGATATTTTATGATGCACAAAAAATTCAAATTTTAAAAGAAAACAAGATGGCAGAATTTTTTACTTCAGGAATGACTGACGTACAGTAGCATGCTTTTCACAATAGTCACAAAATTTCATATATATGTAACCCTGGTAAATACTAGCCGCAATATATCGCTCGGCTAGGGAGAACTTCTCTTTAGCTTGATCGGTTGAGCATAAGACTAGTAAGCCAGAGGTCCCGGGTTTGATCCCTAGCGGAGGCAGTGATTTAAATTTAATTAATCATGCGCTCTGTTTCATATAAATCTCAAATGAAATGGAAACTCATGCAAGACTGTATCATATATATTTTGCCTATTAATATTACATTATGCCATTATTAAGCTGTAACTGAGATTCATTGGTACAATTAATTTCATCAATGAAAATATTAAATAGTCTTTAAACCAGTACTAAGAATTAAATTGGTGCTGGAGATTAAAAAAGTACACTAGTTTTCTATTGCGATCGCCTTTTGTCCGGCGTCCTCCGTCGTGCGTCCGTAAACAATTTACATTTTCAACTTCTTCTCCAAAACCCCTGAACCAATTTCAATGAAATTTTGCAGAAATCTTCCATGGCCAAAGGTCAACTAAAATTAAGAATTATATGGTCCCCAGCCCCCAGGGGCCTGAGGGGTGGGGCCAAAAAGGGTAAAATTGACTGAAATTTAAAAGCNTGTTATGGTTTATAATGGCAAATGATACTTTGAATATTACATGTTGATAACTTGATTGGAATTATAACCCTAAGTTGACAGTTTGATACTTTGTAAATTTTGAGCCATCCCTACCCCCAAGGGCTGTAGGGTGGGGCCCAATGAAGTCTGTGTGCTAAAATAAAATTTCTTCATTTTCCTTGTTTAGAATCAGAGGTGCTAGTTTCAAATACTTTTCAGTCTTAAATCTGCATGCTAGATATTGAATAAGGTGGTTTTATTGTTTTTTTGTCACTTTGAATAATATTTCTGTTCATGTTAAAAACAAATATCAACTCTCTGTATAAATATATCAGGTGACCGTTAAGGCCCATGGGCCTCTTGTTTCTAATGTATTGCATTGCTTCATTGTGTTTAATATGATTTGTTAATTTCAATTTCTTGTTCTGAAGATTACAGAGCTTTTGTCAGAAATAAAATTGAAAGCTAAACGACAACGACAAATTGAACAAGTCTTTACCACTGTCAAGGATATGCTTTTGGGTATTACCAAAGGAAAAGCTCACGAGGTAAGTGTGACTAGAATATTATAAACTGACCCAGGTGAATGTCAAATAACTCCTTATAGAATGATTGATCCAGTATGGTACAATTGGTATTAACATCTAATTGATGGCATTAAGTTTCAAAGGAGATAGTAGATCAATTTGATTATAATAGGTAGAAAACAATGTGACTTTGTCATCATTAACAATATTTAGATGTATTGGGACATAATCTGCTTTATACATGTTCAAAGATAATGCCCCTTGTTTTATTTGCCACCTTGCTTACCAACAACAAATTTCGAAGTCCCTTTTCCTTTTATTCTTAAATGTTCTTTTGTACATCTCCTTCAATTCATCGCCAAATCAAATTTTGAAGTATTATATACAAATTGTTTTAGCACTCTGTCAGTTTTAAGATGAAATAGTAATTATACTGAATTGGGAAAAAAATATGGATAAATATAAAGTGGATATCAACTTTATAACAAATTATGATGTTTTTTGTGTGATGTTTATTTCAGCTGATGGACCAAGACTGGTTACCGAAAAAGTTCGTAAAAGTTCCATTGCACCAGTCACCAGAAGCTGTCAAAGGTCGATTCCAATTTCTTCCTCCAGCTGAAGTCAAGATGGTTGGCAGCTTCTTGTCCAATACTTGTGTCAAACCAAACGTGACTTTAGACATCTCTGTGACAATGCCAGTGGTAAGTACAAATGTATTTCCATATCTCAGTGTATATAGGTGCTTCAGTGAATTCGTTGACCCCCAGTTACCCCATGTGTACAACATTTTACATAGGAGGTAGTCAGTGATAAATTTACAAATGCGTCCCGAGTCCAAACTCATTGAATTTGATGGGACTCTGGAAATACTGGAAATACTTGAATTTAACATTATGAGACCCATTGTTTTTAGCAATACAGATGAAAAGGTCCAATGAAAATAAATTTACTTTGATCACTGGGTATCTAATTACTGGTGATTGATAATAGTGTTTCAGAGATATTTGGGAAATGGATATTTGGTTTCTCCCGTATCACAAAAGTAAATTATAATGGTGTGATGTTATGCCTTGTGAGAGTATTTCGCACAGAAATTATCCCAAAAATATACCATGAGCGCGAAGTAATGAAACCTATATTTAGCAGTTAGAGGAGAATAATGTATATATTCTACATCAAGGTAGACATTAGAAATTAATTTTACCTGCTAACTGAGAAATATATTTCTTTACTCTCTAAAATGTGAAAGTTTTGATCGAAAAGATCATACTTGCAAGGAGTATGTTTCTATAAAAGACAAGATACAAGAAATTGTATTTAACGTCACATATTTAAAACAATAAACATTAGCATTGTAGTGCTATTCTTGCGACAAACATTAGATACAAAGTAGAATTAACATGGATAAACAGCATGCAGATAATCACAAAGCTAGTTAATAAACGACAAGCAAATGTTTTATTATAGGAATGTCTACAGAGTAAGGACAACCTGAACCAGCGGTACCTGAGGAAGAGAGCCCTCTACCTCGCCGTCCTCGCAAAACACCTGAGGAAAAAGGAGGAGGTGGAGGACCTTCATTTTACCTACCTTCATGGCAGCCACTACAAGCCTATCCTCATCCTGAAAGTTAAAGGTAGGGAAAAGTTGAAGAAAAAAATACTTAGGTCAAATGTTATTATCAGACTACTGTATTTAGAAATCACAAATTGTGACTGGGATTTTTATTGCATTCATGGTTGAATTCCCCTTTTGAACATTTGCTCAGTCCTGCATCATTTCATTGTGTTACAGGTGACACAGGAAAGCCAGTGACTGTACACCTGCATGTGATAGCTGAGGAGGGCCTGTTCAAACTGAACCGTTTCCACATCAACAAGAACAATGTGAGAAAACAGTGGTACCGAGGCGAAACAGAGGACGTAGAGGAAGGTAACTTATGATACATACCTATACACACGCATATTTGTTAAATTGTGGCTTTTTTGTGAAGTTTATGTAAAATAGAACTATGGTCATATTCGTGTATCCCCGTTGAAATGTTTCAGGTGGCGCAGAAATATTCCATAATAAACCAAGACACTTGGAACGAACTATAGGCAGAGCTAAAAAAATGCACAGTTTCGGAGAATAAATAAAAACAGATCAAGAATATCATGTCCTTCTTTTACACGTCCACTAAATCATATAACGGATGTAGATGCTGATCATATGTGTCTCAAAGATAACAGCAACCTAAGGTGTTCTAGGGTTTCACTATTTCAATTCTCTATTTAGATAATCACTGATTATATTAGAGAAGTCTTGTGTTTGACAGGGGACCAGCCGGCAACACCCTTGTACAACATGGAAGTTCTTAGTGACCTGACCTTGACCCAGAACAATGACCACTTGACCAATACACTTGGAGATAGCCAGGGGATCAGGGAGGGCATCTACCTGCTGAAAGTCTGGCTTCGTCAACGGGAACTTGATATGGTTGGTATATTTGGCCCCAGTTCCACAGTTTTATTCGGCAGAATGGCTCGTCCACAGTTGATATGGGTATAATGGCTTGTCCACAGTTAGTGGTGGAACATTTATAAATATAAACTTTATTTATTTGACAACAATTATGAAACAAGTTATTTAAACTTATATCAATCACTCTTGTTGGCCCGTATGTAAGCACGCATTGGGTCATAATGTGGTCGGGCAGGTGACCCAATACCTTTTCACGCGCGATCTGGGAATCAAAACCTGGTCGCCTTGGTGAAAGGCAAGTGCGCTATCCGCTGCCCCACCCGACCACCCAACTGATAGAACAGACAGTTACAGATTCTTTCACATAAATGGGAGAAAAAAAACTCTATCAAAGGAGCTATGCAGACTTGTGTGTGATAGAACTCTGTGTAGACACCTTCCTGGAAGGTCTGTTACCTCGGTACACTTTGAGCAAAGATCAGTAACCTTGATACGGTACATTACAGGGTTACGGCGGTTTCTCTGGCTACATCCTGTCCATGTATGTTGCTTATCTGCTGTCAAAAAGACGTCTCAACAAGATGATGAGCAGCTACCAGGTCTTCAGAAACACACTCCTAAACCTTTGTAAGTATCTATAACATGTAATCATGTATAACAACAAGAGAATTCAGAATAAAATACTTTACTTGAAAATTGCTTGTAGAAGTCTAGCTAAAAACCTATCAAAGAGAGATCAAAAATTTTTTGGAAGTCCCTTCATCCTTAGAGTGACATTAACTCATTCACCCCTGAAGACACATTAGAACTCTTCCAATTCAAAGGTTGGAATAGTTCATTATGAAATTTCAGGGGTGAACGAGTTAAGTTGGAAATAAAGGAGCACTCTTTTTCTTTTCTGTCAATGTAAGCACAAGTTAAAAAATTAACTCTGTTTTATTGTGCATCAATTTTTCAGCTAAATCTGAATGGACAACAGAAGGTATTACATCATGTGAGGATGGCGAAGATTCACAGCGCCCTCTGTTGTCAAATTTCCTTGAGACTTTTGATGTCGTGTTTGTTGATGTGACTGGCTACTTCAACATCTGTGCCTGCATGAACAAGTCGTGTTACAACCGGGTGAGACATTCATTTGTACCATTACAGTACATTGCTCCCAATGTCATGTTTCATTTTTCAGTGAGAAATTTGATATAGAAGTGGAATGAGAAATAAAGAGACTTTTGTTTCTTACATGTCATATTTTATTATAAATCTCCCGTTGACATTACATAAACCTAGCTGAGCAAAATACCTCTTCATCGTCTGGTAAGTGCATTATTTTACACGAAGCCAAGATGTAAAAAAAGACACTGGTTAGTTACATCTGTATATGTCATCAAAATCTTAACAATTCTTTTATTCATCTCTCTGGAAGAATCACCAAACCTCTTTATAATGTCAAAATATCTCTATACCAACGGTGGCAGTATAGCGAGGTTTTACTGTATGTTGACCCATCGCCTGTTACAGGTTCACTACGAGGCTGGAAAGGCTATGCTGTTACTCGAGGATCATTCCCTTGACAGCTTCTCTCTGTTCTTCATGACACCACTTCCTTTCCTCCGCAAGTTTGACAATGTATTTCAGTAAGTTCCTCTAGTTTTAAAAAGTCAGAGACTGGTGATACAAGGATTTTCGTCAATTATAATTTTGTAATGTTTGGAGTGTTTTTTCTTGTTTAACCTTTTCACCACTGTAGACCATAATGAACTCATCCAGATCAATGTGTGGTGGAGTCAACTTAAGTTACATAGGGGTGAAAGGGTTAAATACCCACAATAAAAATATTGTAATTAAGGGGATGTCATTACTATTGCATATACTTTTAATTATCTGGTGTCAACCAGAACCTTAAGAGGTTTTGTTCCTGGAACAAATTGATGGGGTTTAAATTTGGACAACCACATTAAGGCAGTGAGTACCATGCTCAGTGTTGAATCTCCATTGAAAAAGAGTTCCAATTCAGGTTTTTTATGACTAGGTAGTTGATTGCCTATTTATTATATGGAAAGAGTTATACCAAACTAAAATATTTATTTTATTTTCATTTTCCATAAAAAAACATCTTCACCAGGAGAATTAAATCCCCAATCTCTTGATTATAAAGTATTAAATTAATATCCACTGTGCTTCAAGTCCTGATATTTGATAGTTGAAACTAACTCAAAAAGAAAGTTAATTTGCAGAATTTCTGTTTTGTGAATTTTTATCAGGTAGCAAATATAACATTATCCAAATGACCCGAACATAAGTAGATTGTTTTATGATCAGATATTGTGAACATTCTTAAAATACTTATTTGATCATCATACTTTATAAAAGAGAATATTGCTACTCTTTGATAATAATGTGGCTCTTATAGTCTGGAAAATGGCTTTCTAAGAGTGAAAATGTCTTGTCAAATAAATTAAAATCAATGTTAAGTTTTTGCTGCAGTCAAAAAAAAGTTGGACAATTTTCTAGAAACAATACAAGCTATCAGGATTTCACTGCCATTCAAAAATTCATTTAGCATTCATTTTTCTAACCTAGGAAACATGACAGGATGTGATAGTGTAGATAGTAAGACGATAATAACTTTTGCACCAATGAAATTTTTCAGTATCAGAGATCTGTCCTGTCTGGAGACATCCGTAACCAAGTTTGACCTGGCTGACAGAGCTATGGACTTGGGTGGTGATGTGGTTGCCACGGTAACTCCTAGTTTGATCTCCGTATTACAGCGTGCACTGGACCGGAGAATCACACTTCTACAGGTCAAACAGGAGTCTACACCACAGGTCAGTTTGGGTCACCAATAAATCAGTCAGGATCAAAGACAATTGGCTGAAATACTTTGTATTAAGAAATCTTATGACATGTTCTAGCAATCAACATATTACTGTTAAATAAGAACAGTAGAGTTTGATAGCTTGTATAAATTTCTGAAAAGAAGATTTGGATATTAGTTTAAAAAGTTGCTTTATTGGAACGCCACCTTTACTATACCATTTTCAGTAGAAGTGATATGTGTTTTAAATATCTGAACACAGATACCATGATAGTGACATCTACTTGTACACCAGTGCTAGGTTCAAAGAATTATCATCCCTGGAGAATATTAATTTGATTCTTCATTGTGTAGCAGAACTGGACTTGGTCGATCGTCGATGAACAGGTAGCTCAATTGGTAGAATGTCCGTCTAGAGTTCGGAGGGTCCCAGGTTCGAACCCTAGTCTGGTCGTACATTTTCCCTCTCCTATTACAATACCAAGGAGGTTTCTAATAAGAAATTTGTATTAGATTCTGTAAGTAAGAGACAGATTGAGTAATTAAATGTTGTGCGTGTCATATTGTGTATATGATGTTTTTCATTCCACTTTGTATCTGTACTGTCCACAACAGTGGTCCATAAATGATGACCCACCTACACCAGGCAGTCAGGGGCAGATAACTGTTGGGGTTTTACTCAACCCAGATACATGTACTAGTGTAATTGAAAAGGGACCCCCAGCAGATTCTCCAGAGGTGAGTATCGACATTTCTTTAGACCACTTGACTGTGCATAAATATCTTACGTAGCGTTAGCAGTACAGTACTCATACATGTATGTGGGCCAATAAAACACCGGAGAAATATGTTTTGAATGAATAAAGGTAGAACTTTGGCAGGTCAAAAATATAATGATTTACTGTACTGTACATCAGGAATTTTTTATTAGTGTCTAATTTTAGTTTTATTTGTGAGATGATGAAATTGTGAAAAACAGAATGCGTACATTTCATTGAAAGAAAAACAATAACACACTTATATCAGCATGGAGATAAATAGCTGGAAATTCAAACACAGGATTTTGATTTTGCACAGATTGTCCAATATTCAATTATAGAATATCATGGGTGGAAACTATTGGATTTTCTGGATGGATGATCACGCCATCAGAACTTGTATTTGATTTAGGAAAAATATATTCATTCCTTGTCTTAGTGTAAAAAATCTCAACCCTTGGTGTGTGAGATTCTCAAAAGTCTAGCCCTCTGCAGAGTCTTTGGTAAGACACTTTTGAGTCTTACCACTTGGGTTGAATTTTTCTTTCTTAAAGTGGGAAAAGTTTCTGTTGGATTTACTGGTGTTGAACAAACTAGACATGCTATATACACTTAAGTACAATAGTTCTGTTCAACATGAACTTATCTGGTCCTGGAAAAAAGTTAAATTCTCTGTTGGGGTAAGGAGGGGTGTTTAAGTTGTTAAAAGTCTGGGTAAAACAGATTTGACAAATTATACACTTTTCAATCAATCAGATTTTAATTTTTAATTTTTAGGCAGAAGATTTTCGTAGTTTTTGGGGAGAGAAATCTGAACTTCGACGATTTAAAGATGGCAGCATTTGTGAGGCAGTTGTTTGGATGCAAGCCAGTAATGAAATTTCTATTAAGAGGACAGTCTGCTCTGAAGCTGTCAAACATATTCTACTCAGGTAAATATATTGTCTACTTATTTCTACCCAGGTATACGTTTCAGATCTTGTGTACTTTTTTCCTAGTCAGCTCAGACTTAAGTTAAGCAGCCTTCATTAAAGCCATTAAGTTTCTGGCTGGAAACAAGCGTCAAGACCTTGACATTTTACTGTGGACATTGAAACGTTCGTCCAGTCAAGCTTTCCCCAAACACTTGTAAAATCCATAATCACCCAGGAGGCACAGTGGTAGGACGCTGGGCTTGTGACTGTAGGGTTGCGTGTTCGAGTCACGTCACGGCACTGTGTTGTATCTTTGAGTAAGATACTTTACTCCACTTGTTCCAGTCTACTCAGCTGTAATTGATAACGTGGTTGGGCAGTGCTAGAACTGTTGAATGCTAGCTGTGAGCGCTGAAATGGCAGCACCGGTTGTATGCTCCCCAGGGAGTTGAGAAAGATATTGGCTGGTTGTAAAGGCCCTATAACCACGGATAATAATTTGTGAACCCCTTTGAGACGACCTATGAACCAGGCTGTGATAAAGCGCTATATAAGAACCTCAAATTATTGTTATTATTATGATGGTGTTACTTTTGCCCTTCACATTAGATTACTATGTTTATTATGATGGTTACTATTGTTCCCCTTAAACAATAGATTGGCCCTCAGTATGGGTGGTAGAAATACAGGGAAGTTGAACTGGAGCAAAAGTTTGCCATTATACAGTACCACTCACAGATCGCAACAGGTGTGTTCAGGCTCTGGTGTTTAGTAATATAAGGCTGCCATATATAGAGTTTAGGCTCATTTCGACAAAGTATAGATTTGCTGCAACACGGTTTAGGCTCATCACAACTGTAAACATAAACATTGATGCATTGGAGGTTCCAGGGTAGAGGGACATAATCATTTACAAGTCTGTGATGGTTTGTTTATTGCAGACAAGCTGGCATACCGGCCGAATCCATATGTTACATTGGCCATCAGCTTGATCCGCTGTTGTATCTGCCGGCCAGGTCGAAGGCAGGTTTTAGGTGCTATGGCACGGGGGAGGAGGAGACTATAGCCGTTACACGCACTTATGACTCGCTGTGTAAAATCCTGCGTAATCTCAAAGACCTGCCTCTTACCATCAACTCAATACAGGGGACGTCCCCAGCGTTCAGATATACAGAGGTGAGTTAAACATTCGGGTAACTTTGACAGAAGACAGGGTCGTCTAGACACTTGCCTTTCAATAAGGTGGCTGAGGTTCAGTGTCTCGATTAGACGTGAAATGGTTTTCTCCGGGTACTCCAGTTTCTTCTCACATTAAGTCCCCCGGGCGCAAACATCTGACCCAACAAGAGTTATTAATATAAGTTAAAATAACTTGTTTTATAATTGTTATCAGGTTCAACTTGTCTTGCCTAATTGCCAGTGATAATTTATGTCTGGTGTTAATGTATGTCTTGAGATGTTCTCACATATGTTTTACTCTGAATTCCATTGATTGGAATCACAGATAATTTATGGATGTTGTGTTTTCATGTTTCCAGGTGTTCCCACCCCTTCCGGCCACCGCCCCTTCACAACTGATGGAGGCGGATGACACCTTTCAGTGTCCCAAGCCAACCAAACCCACTCCTCCGCACATACCGGTTCTCAAGAGTAAGTTCCATTTAGCTACAGCATTATTTCAAAAAGGTTTTGTCCTCTTTGACTTCAGTAAATGATTATTCCATTGCTTATAACCACGTCACCAGTTAAACTCAATTTGCGACCGTATAATCATGATATACTGCCGCACATTTGAAAAAAACAGTAGGGTTATCCCATAAATATCGGAAAAGTTTAGCAACTACAACCTGCAAATAGGATAATTTGTCCTCGACATAGACAGCCACTTTGGACTGCAGCCTAACTATAGGATATTAGTTGCAAGTGAATGTTTACCCTAAAAATGACATTTTCTGATTGATAGTTGTGTGTATGATGGAAGGAAGTGGTAAGTGGCCAGACGAGATCGAACCATTTCGCCGTCTGAAAGCAGCATTCCACATAGCATTGGGAAAAATCTTGTCTAATGAACACAAGCTTGTTGTCCGGACAACCCCAGGATATGTAGATGTCAAAAAGGTGAGTTTGAGAGAACTAACAGAAAAATCTTCCTCATTTCTGTAAAAAACATCCTCCGAAAAGTTCTTTAATGTTAAAAAACCCTCCAAAGAGTCCCTTATGTAGAGTTCCCTAAATGTTGCACATTCAAGTTTTCGGTAGACTTCCTTTCAGAGTTGTTGTTTTGCTTCTTTTCAGAATAATTACATATTTCGAGTGGAGCTTGCATACACCCGTGAGATAGCCCTGATCAAGTCTCATCGCACGCCAGAGGGGATGATGAAGATGAGGGACACATCAGAATCAATACAGTTAGAGAAAGAGATTGTTGCCCTACCCAAACTTACCAGCACACTACATGGGTAAGTCTTGTCACTCCTAAAACTAATCAGAACAATACATGTTGAAGTCTTGTCACTCCTAAACCTAATCAGAACAATACATGTTGAAGTCTTGTCACTCCTAAAATTAATCAGAACAATACATGGTTAAGTCTTGTCACTCCTAAATCTAATCAGAACAATACATGTGTAAGTCTTGTCACTCCTAAACCTAATCAGAACAATACATGTGTAAGTCTTGTCACTCCTAAACCTAATCAGAACAATACATGTTGAAGTCTTGTCACTCCTAAATCTAATCAGAACAATACATGTTGAAGTCTTGTCACTCCTAAACCTAATCAGAACAATACATGGTAAGTCTCGTCACTCCTAAAACTAATCAGAACGATACATGGGTAAGTCTTGTCTCTCCTAAAACTAATCAGAACAATACATGGTTAAGTCTTGTCACTCCTAAAATTAATCAGAACAATACATGGTAAGTCTCGTCACTCCTAAAACTAATCAGTACAATACATGGGTAAGTCTTGTCCCTCCTAAAACTAATCAGAACAATACATGGGTAAGTCTTGTCACTCCTAAAACTAATCAGAACAATACATGGGTAAGTCTTGCCTCCACCAAATCTTAACAGAACACTACATAGGTAAGTCATGATGTTATCAAAACATACCAGAACACTCATGGGCAATTTTTGTCTTGCACAAAACTTTATCCTTCTTCAAACATGAAACATAAAACTTCAGTATACATGTAAATAAATGTTGTATTAAAATAATATCAAGGTCAAGTTAGCCTTTATGTATGTGACATTTTAGAAAATATAAACTTTTGAAGGCAAATGTTCAAGTATGAATTTTCATTATTTTGTCACGATGTACTACCAGTAAATTAAATGATGTCCTAAACCACTGACTATCAGTGAATAAGTGTGAAAGGCAAAGGAATCAATGATTTAAATAAAAATCTGTTTTGAATCTGCAGTGTCCAGCAACAACACAACACGTTTAGTGGAGCTGTACGATTGGCCAAACGATGGGTCTCCTCGCAGCTACTGGTCGACCACATAAGGGATGAGGCTCTGGAGCTCATGGTGGCTCAACTGTACATAGCCCCTAACCCCTTCAGTGTGCCAAAGTAAGAATAGGGACTAAGCTCTACATAGCCCCTAACCCCTTCAGTGTGCCAAAGTAAGTATAGGGGCTAAGCTCTGCATAGCCCCTAACCCCTTCAGTGTGTCAAAGTAAGTATAGGGGCTAAGCTCTACATAGCCCCTAACCCCTTTCGTGTGCCAAAGTAAGTATAGGGGCTAAGCTCTACATAGCCCCTAGCCCCTTAAGTGTGCCAAAATTAGTATAGGGGCTAAGCTCTACAAAGCTCCTAGCCCCGTCAGTGTGCCAAAGTAGGTATAGGGATGCAGCGTAGAGTGGCCCTACTCTATATAGCCCCTAGCCCCTTCAGTGTACCAAAGTAAGTATAGGGGCCCAGTTTTTCAAAGCCCCTAGCCCCTCCAGTGTACCACAGTAAGTATAGGGCCCTACTCTACATAGCCCCGATGGCCCCTCCGTTCGGTGTGCCAAAGTAGGTATAGGGATGCAGCGTAGAGTGGCCATACTCTATATAGCCCCTAGCCCCTTTAGTGTACCAAAGTAAGTATAGGGGATGCAGCTCATGAACCCCCTGGGCTTAATGTAGGATGAAATTCCTATCAGTCTGATTTATAAAACATTTATAAACAAATTTATGAGGAAATGTTTATAACAATGTTCCCACATTAACTTAATAAAACAAATATCACCAGTCACTCTCAATTCATTGTTTCATCAGGGATTGATGTCACATCCATAATATAAATTTAAGGTACTTTTTATCACTTGACTCATAATAATATAGTAAAACCATATGTGTAAACCTATGAAACCTCCATTGAGGTAGATCTCCCTCATTCCACATCTAAAAGACGGGTAAAGTGCGCACAAAAATTTGCTGTGTTTTTGTCCAGTGAGGAAGTGTGCATAGCACAAATTTCACATTGTTGATTGCAGATAAATAAAACACACTTTTCCAATCATTTTCTTGAAATCTCAAATTAAGCCAAATTCTTGTGTTTGTTATCTTTTGTCCCCATTGTGACATTATAATATGATCCCAAGTCTGTGACATTACAATTATTATTATTACTTTAGTTAATGAGAAACATTATAACATAAGTGGTAATCATATCATAAAATGTTTTGTAGATGTTGCTTACTCTATGTTATATTGTGTCCTTAGCTCACCACTAGTTGGATTTCTGCGGTTCCTCCATCTTTTGTCGCATCACGACTGGAGCAGAACGCCACTGTTAGTCAATCTTAACCAAGAATTTACAGGTAATTGTGTCCTCAACATTGATGATAAAAAGAAAGTGAACAGCTTTTTAAAATGTTCTTGCCGATATGAACACAAGATTGGTTACATACAATTAACAAAACTTGCAACAAAGTTCATGCAATGTATGTAACTCACTTGCATTCATATGAGCATGAACATTTAAAAGATGCTATTAAGTATATATATTGACATGCTATATTTATAGCTATTAGTGATCTAAATAGGTATTCCCTAACACTGAGGTATCTGTATCATTGCAAGAACTTCCTGGAACAGTCTAACATCACTTAAACGTTTGCTTCTTCTGATGGTCTCGCACTATGTATAAAGGCAAGAAAAACATCAAAAGGACAATGATTTCATTTCATTCATAGATATATGAATACATTTTCTGTTGGCTTTGTGTAGGGACTTGCAGTAGAAAGATAAATATAGATAATATAAAGTACTACACTAGAGTAAGTGATTTGGGAATCATTTGTACAAAACCTTGTCATAAAATTGTCATTGCATTTATATAGTATACCTATGTATGAATGTAAGATACTTTTAGAATTTCAAGGAAAATCAAATTGGTCTTTCCCCATTATGTGTCAGATTGGCATATTGGCCTGATGAAATTAATGAAATTATAATTAGAGGTTCCTATATGCTGCTTTATCATAACCTAAGTCGTAGGTCGTCTCAAAGTAGTTCTCAAACTTTTATCCGAGGTTATACGGCATTTGGACCAATGTCTTTTTCACCTCCATGGGGAGCATACAGCCGGTGCTGCCATTTAGGCGCTCGCAGCTAGCGTTCAACTATTCTAGCACTGCCCCAACTACGTACTCATTTACAGCTGAATAGACTTNTACAGCTGAGTAGACTTGAACAAGCGGAGTAAAGTATCTTGTTCAAGGATCCAACACAGTGCCGTGACTCGAACCCGCAACCCTTCTGTCACGAGCCCCAAGTCCTACCACTAGACTACTGTGCTTCATGACTTTGATAAACAGTAAAACCTTATTATACTGTCATCATTTGTCTAGATAGATATTGGCATTATATAAGGGAGTTTGGCAATATAACTAGGGAGGCAGTAAAAGTGGAATATGAAATCTGCCAGCAGTTACTGAGGTGACAAATGAAACAAGAGACATTACATTGAGATTTCACTCTATAAGCGTCCAATACCTAAATTCTGACAACACGATAGGGGCACTTTTATTTCACACTTCATAAACAGTTTCATCGTTTGGGCAAGAGTTGTTCCTTTTACACAGACCGAGGTCGTATTCATGTATCCCGGTTAAAATGGTTCAGGTGGGGCAGAAATATTCCACGGTAAAGGAACGCACTGGGACCGAACTGTAAGCAAAGCTAAAAAATGCACAGTTTCCGAGAATAAATAGCAATATATCAAGAATAATATGTCCTTCTTTCACGCGACCACTAAGTTATATAACATATGTTAAAATCTACATGTAGATAGACATTGTTTTATAAAGAAATAACACAAACTAGGAATAGTCAGCATTTTAGTTTGGGTCAGGCACCTCTAGATCCCTCAACCTACACGCGTCGGATATTCCTGAGGTCAGGTTCAGATCTGCACCTGTCATTTTCTTTCAGGTTCAACTGTTTCAATTGGTTGAACTGGGTACGCGAAAGGGGCCCAAGCTACCTTTTATAGTTATCTGATGTTGTTTTCTGGAAAGTTTAGAATTTGAATGCTTTTATGCATCTACAAGGATTTTCTAGGATAAATTTCCCAAAAAGAAGTTACAATGTTATATCTTCATATAGAAAGTTCTTGGGTTATATGTGTATCTTTTGTTATTCATAGCTGGTGACTATGCAGAGATTTCTTCAACATTTTCCAACGACAGGAAAACTCTGCCCCTGATGTTTATCTCCACGCCAGGAGACAAGCTGAGCTCCCATTGGACGACAGGGTCGCCCACGGCACCTATCCTTCAGCGCCTCATCCTACTAGCAAAGGAGTCTCTCAAAGTTCTGGAGAGTCAGCTCAATTCCAGTCAAATTCAAGCTGCCACAGACTTCAAGGTCAGTTGTTACTATGGATACAGCCTAGTTTTCATACTCTCAAAACCAGACCGGTTGCTGAAGTAGATGGTTGTAAAAAAAACTCTGTGGTGCGAGTTTTGTATTTCTGATAGCAAATTAAAAGATTTTTTTTCCAATGTGGGAAAATAGGATTTTCCTTTGTCAAATCAAATCTAAAATAATATGTGTACCGAGTGATTGTTTATTTCCATCACATGTCACAAACAAGGACCACTCTTATGTTAAACAATGGACATTTGAATACATTTGCAAATCTTAATGAGATTCTACACAGTGTTATCTTTGCCTCAATGGTATGCACATATTTTGCAACTAGGTATCTGTTTGCTGAAAATGGAACAAATTATATTGATGATATCTTCATTGCATGGTCTTCATTACTTAGCTGTACCGTCGCAATAGATTCAAATTTTGTATTGAATGTTTAAAATTTGTGACACATAAAAAATTTTTTTTTTTATATTTTCTAGTTATTTTTCTATCCCTAGTAAACCAGTGTTTGTTTTGGATCAATTCATATATACATTTTTATTGTATGTATACAATAATCTGTTCCTCTGTTTAATCGGCAGCAAATATTTCGGCCACCGATGGATATCTACGATGTGATCATACACCTGAGACAGAGAATGGTTCCGCGTCAAAATCAGGCAGTGGATATCAACAACGAAACGACAATCCCCCTGTACCTCACAGACAGGCCAAGTACGGTGATGCCTGTCTACGAGTTTGATCCAGTACAGCTCTACCTGTCGGAGCTACGGGTGGGTAACACGAGTTGCAGTCAGTGTAACACGGAATGATTCCGATAAATGACAGTTTGAACAGTCAATCACAGGATTCGTTTTCCCCAATACTAACTATCACTTGTGTAACATTACTGGTAATTTGGATAAAAACATCACTACTTATGCAGCTATAGACTGTTTGCAAAATTCTGCCTTAATTTGATTTCAATGTTTTGAATTATCGATATCTGTTTCGGATTTTAAAACTTTTCTTAATTGCAAATATGTATATTTAGATTGATTGGATCAGCTGATGAACAGATGTAATATACTGTAATACATTGTACCTCAGTAGTTCATTGGCCAACTCTCGAACCAACAACATCTCTCTAGGTCCCCCTTTCATGTTATCTTAACTAGTACATGGGTGTCAACCTCTGAAACCTCCAATGAGGGGGAGATCTCCCTCATTTCTCATTTCCAGGGAGGGAGAAAGTGTGTGAAATGTGACTGAAACTGCTTTGCTCAATTTACCTTTCCATTTTTATGTACCAAAATAACTCCTAATGCATTCAGTTGATTCAGACACACCTGTTATGATCATTACACCCACCCTGCAGTAACTAGGGGATCATTTAACCATATGATGTAGATCTTGAATTTGTGTGAGTTTGGATTTGATTGAGGGAGTTTCGAAGGAGATTGGTAAATTTTGGTAAAAATGGGGGAGTCTCCCTCCTAATGAGGGAGGTTTGACAGCTATGCTAGTATTGTCCTTGAGCCGCTCACAGACTCCTGCACATCTATTAACAGGTAGTTATTAAACAAAGCGTAGACAAATCGATTTGTCAATTTGATTGTCATTTCGTATATGTATAACAGCTAAGTGTACATATACCCTTATAGAGTAGCCAGTTGCCAAGTCGTACATATTTTACACCTTCACATGTCATTTGTCTGACGATGATGACAGGGTACATACAATACTAGTCATCAAAACCTGACACAGTGACACAAACATTAACTGTTTGAACTTCCATACAGTCCATACTAACCAACCTGAAGAAAATGTTAAGAAATAGCAATATCCTTTATAAATCTCCCTTATCTAAGGGTATATGGCCAAACCCTTTTTTAATGTGAAACTGTTGCTGGACAAAAAAAATGACATTATAAGGAGGTTTTTCTGTAATAAATATTAATACAAAATGCCGAGTGTTTCATCATTGGAGAGACAATGATGTAATTTGTTTATCACAAACTAAGGATATCGTACCCTTCTGACTCTTTTCTATTTTAATATAATGATTAACTTTGGTTTTCAGGCTGTTTACAGTGATTATGCTCTGTTTTTCTGCGACCGCTATGGAGGAAATCTTATTGGCGTTCTCTGGAAACCTCAGGCCTTTGACAAATCTCCATTTTCGGTATGTAGTGTATAGAGGTTTCAGTGTTTTTGAACATTAAGTTTACTGTATATTTTGAAACTTTCCCTGTGTTTTTACTTTCACCACTTTCATGTTAACCGCTGAGAGTTAATGAACATTTTAACCATCTCCAGTTCTATTGTGCCGTCAGACCGTGAAAGGTTATGTCTGCAGAAATTATTCAATCAAGGGAAATAGAGGCACTTCTTGTCACCCATTACTTAAAATCTATTTTGTCCATCTCCCCACTATCATATATTGTAACAGTAATTTCCGACCCCACCACCTTAGAATCATTATTAAAAGTGATTTTTGCACCCTCCCACACATATTTCTGTAATAGCTTTAGTTAGAATCTTCTCGAACAGAACATACTTATATATACTGTTTACCAGGAAACTATCGCCCAGTCAAATATTCGCTCTTCAATGGTAAAATCTATATCCATCCAGTGTTAACTTCGCTTTTCATATGTAATTACTATATATGTTATGCTGTGTAATAATATTTGCTGTCAGGGTAGAATTTACCCTCATTGTGCAGAGGGTGAAAAAGTTAATATTTCATGATATACATTGTATTCAACAAAACTTTTTTATTTTTGCATGAATTTTCAAGGTATGACAATCAAAGTTTCAATATCTCAATCATTCATTGAATCTCATTGAAACAAATAATAATACATGGTTTACATATTGTTTTTGTTCCTTAGTGAATTAAAATCCTCATGAAGTAATCGTTTAAAAGATGTGATACATGTATTGAAAATAAGTATTGGTGGAAAATTGCATCAAAACAAGCAGAAAGATAGCCTACAAAGACAGTCTATGAGTTGTTAACAGTGTTTACTATACTGGAATGCATTCTACATATTATATATTCACGTATTATAGATGACACACATTTTTTCCAACATCCTCATTCGTCGTGTCATAATCGAATAGAGATCGGTGATTTATGATATTGACTTGATCAAGTCAATATCATAAATCACCGATCTCTATGCAATGATGTTACAATTTTTAGGAACACCAGGTTAATATTCAAATCATGACACCATTTCAGTTGTAACATCACATTCCCCTTTGCCAAATGCTGTCCTTTCCTCAGAAATATTTTCATATTTTCCTTCTTTTTAATGATTAAAACATTATATAGCAGCTGAAATAACTTCGTCTCGGTTAATACAACTTTCTCAGGTCTATATAACCACATATTTACCTCAACTTAAGTCCATAATTGTGACTGATGTTTATTGTAGGTGAATCGAATAGCGGGAAAGATGCCAATATTACTGGACACAGACAAAAGTTCGGACATTCAAACTATTGGCAATATCGAGGCCATTTTGGAAGATTTCCAAGTGCTTGGTGGAGGTCTTGTATCCAAGGTGGAGATAAAAAAATGGGATTTTGGATCAGTCCAGTGAGCTAGATCAACCTCAACATTACAATGTCAGCAAAAACTAATTTAAAAAATTGAAATTTGATACAGAAAATTATAGACAGGTTTCAATGAAATGAATCATTCTAATCTGTATGATTGGACAGTGGGCTATATACAGAATGAATCATTCTAATCTGTATGATTGGAGAGTGGGCTATATACAGAATGAATCATTCTAATCTGTATGATTGGACAGTGGAATATATACAGAATTGTATTACATTGATCATGTATATAACATTTAACTGAAGAAATTAAAACATGTCGCTTATATCTTTGACAAATTGGTTCATTATTTATACATTAAGCAGAATGGCAAGTATAGATTTATTGTGATTTTCGTAGCATTCTATTTGAGATCGGGAGTAACATGTATCACAGATACCAAAAGATGAGTTATAGAAAAGTGGAGCGAGTGAAAACAAATCAATTATGGGCATCAAAAGATTGAGATCTGCTTAATTAGATTTCTACCTGTCGGAGACAAAATGGATAATAATAATAATTTGACGTTTTTATATACCACTTTATCACAACCTCGGTCGTATGTTGTCTCACAAATTATTATCCGTGGTTATAGGGCCTTTGCAACCAGCCAATATCTTTCTCAACTCCCTTGGGAGCATACAGCCGGTGCTGCCATATCGCCGCTCACAGCTAGCATCCAACAATTCCAGCACTGCCAAACCCCGTACTCATTTACACCTGAGTAGACTGGAACAAGCAGAGTTAAGTATCTTGTTTAAAGATACAACACAGTGCCCCGACATGACTCGTACCTGCAACCCTTCGGTCACGTGCCCGGCATCCTACCACTAGACTACCCTGCCTCCGGATAACACTACCACTGAACAAATGAAAAGTTAATAGCTTGGGAGGGCCTATACGATCAGCTTGTGTTGGATGTTCCACAATAGGCAAACAAACTTCTTCCTCACCACAACATGAAAGGGAAGAAACAAGCTTTTACTTGTTAAGGCTGTAGAGCATTTTTTTTTATCTCATTTCATATCTAATTTTACTTTTCCAAGGGAGCCACAGTGGCAGAGTGGTTCAGGCATCTGACCATCTAAACCCAAGGTCTATGTGGGGCAGTCACAAGGTACTGGCCGGAGGTAGGTGGTTTTTCTCTGGGTGCTCTGGCTTTCCTCCACCACCAAAACCTGGCATATCCTTAGATTACCATCGCTGTTAATGGGACATAAATCACGCCCATACCAAACCTCCAAGTAGAGAGATGATCAGGTCAAAGAAGCTGTTTTATTTCCTTGTTAACCTTAAAAAGAAAGTTTTTGCCATTTAAAGCATTCACGCTGTCTTCAGGTTAACTTCCCAACAAAGGGTTTAAAACATCAAAGTATGCTGGACTTTTCAGTCTCCATATTAAACACTCGAGGGAGGGTCAACATGTACCAAGTCTCCATGGTTATGTAGCGTCTCCATGTTTATGTAGCGAAACTGGACTTGGTTGATCATTGGCAACTGCGTAGCTCAATTGGTAGAGTGTCCCGAGGGTCCAGTGAATTTGTTTCTCTCCTATTAAAGTGTGACTTACCCTTGTTTCAAGTATGGGATGAATGCTTGGCATGGGGATACCCGAACCCGAGTTGTAAATAGTTGTGTCTTCAGGGGTGAAGACTTAGAAAAAGGAGGGAGGAATGTAGCTGAACTGGACTGGGTCAATCATGGGAGACCAGGGTCCAGTTGTTCAGGTGATGAGCTTAATCATGGTTTAAGGATATTTTTCAACCTCTAATAATTTGGCCAATATACGAGGTAAAAGCTTGTAATTTTGCATGCAGTTTACTTCACTATAATATTTGCTATCTGGAAAGTTTGAACTCTGTTAATAGCGGTGTTTTAAAGATACACAAAAAATAAAATTTGCGCTTATCACTGTTTGAACAACTGGTAGTTAAAATCTTTTAACCTATAATTAAAGAGTAGGATGTGTCTATTTGTCCTCCTGTTGGGCCTAGCCCCCAGAGGGTGCACGGTTATGCTCTACACCAAATCTGGTCAAAATCCATTCAGCCATTCTGGACTAATAGCTTTTAGTGCCACTGACAACAGCATCGGCTCACTTGCCCTTCAAACAGGTGAGCAAAAAATTATCAAGAAAACACAAAAATATATAAATTCAAGATTTATTGTTTAACAACTGGTTTTCTTAAAGAAAAAAAACACAAAATCCTCAAATATCCATTAAACTGATGATACAAAAAAATGATACATAACAATTGTGTGCCTCTATAATATCAAGGAAACATGAAACAGTAGGCAATGTCGGTTCTCTCTCATTTCATTCAACTTCTCATCACATTTTACACTTATGACCACTATATGAAGTCAAAGATTGTGACACCACTTGAGTTTAGATCCACAATTATCATATGATGTGACAAACAGGTACACATTGTCTTGGTGTATGAAGAAGTAATTTGGATGTTTTCACAACCCTGATTTTTTTAAAAAAAATCTAAGTTTTGTTTCGTTTCCCCATATTAAAGGAACAGCTCAAGTTGCAGAAACAGTCAAGATACAGAATAATATTTATATACATGTACATGTACACATGGCAGTAAAATCTACATCAAATATTCTATGAATTGCTCATAGTATTCCATACAAATATACTGTCATTCGGTAGAAAATACACACACACACACAAAATGCAGTAAAACCATGTTATACTGCCAGCATTAATACAATGAGGTGTTATACAGAAGATTCGTGATCAAATGAGGAAGATGTATAAAAATGAATGAATTGTTGAGAAAAAGGAAAAGGGGGCATGAAATACATTGGTGGTAAGCAAGGTGGCAAATGAAACGAGGGACATTCTATCATGGTTTTACTGTAACTTCTGTTCATACATATGTATACATATAACAAACCATTATTATTCATAAATCGTGACTTTCAGTTAATCTACGTCTGTCATAGCAATTCCAGTTAACAGAGTTTGAAATATTAATGTTTGTCCCGTTTTCATATGACGTTTCGATGACGTAAAACCCCGAACAAAACAGTTCAGGTTTATTTTTTCTCCTGTATTTTCTTTTTATCAATATAGCATGTAATAGCTCAAACTGTAACTACATAATGTTAGCTGAAAATTGTGAGTAAATACAGTTTACGTGCTAGGAAGCATGATTGGTACTAGTTAAAGGTGTGCGTGTAAATAAAATACAAGTAAACCTATCTGTACCATCACAAGTTGTGCCCTTCTATGTGGTTTGTCCGATTACCTGGGTAGAAGTAAATTTAACCCTTTCACCACTGTAGACCATAATGGACTCATCCATGTCAATACATGGTCGAGTCTACTAAAGTTACATAGGGGTGAAGGGGTGAAAGGGTGAAAGTACAAATAAAAAAAAAACATCATTACAAAATAAATTCTTCAGGAACTTTTTATAATATGAATATTATTTCAGTACAATGAAATGATGCACCTGATGTGTTAAATCTCTTAACATAAGTATATAATTTCCAAAATATATATTTTTGCTGCAATTTCGAGGAAAGTTCATCAAAGACAATGCAAACACTTTTGAATTGCTTTCCCAATAACATATCAATATGTACAGTTGGATAGAGTAACTACCTGAAACAAAACAGATTCCTGATTGAAAAGATTTTACAAATTTTACAGATACCAAGTTTGAGGGCACAAGAGACTACAGTTCAATTCAATGAGATTATCCCAAGTTTGAGGGCACAATAGACTACAATTCAAGGATCTCATAAGTACTGTGAAATCACTAATTTTTCGAAAAATTTAGGAAGCAATTCTGAGATTATTTTTCATTTAAGCCAGACTCAGGAAGATAAATAACAAAAAATCATGACAGTTCATAAATATCATGCGAGATGGATATGAATTATTTTTTATCACATGATAAAGATTTTTTTATAATTATAATAATTATACTGATACGCTGAAACAGCCTGAGGACAACACCGAATATTGAGAAAAACATGGTTTTCCAGAAGAAAAAAAAATTCTTAAAATTCTGCCATCTTTGCTCTTTATCCAATGTCTCCATTGCGACAGTAGAACAGTGTGTAATGTGAAAGTGTATTGTGTCATTTGATGGTTTGACAAAGGTCATACAATGTATTACATTAATAAATAAACAAACCAAATGACATACTTTACTGAATAACAAGGTGTTCCAGCTTTATCCTTATTAGTATAATTCTGAATATAACTGTTACATGTAGACAGGATCACAGAGACAATGGCAGGGTTTCTTTTGGTCACTAATTATAGCACTATTAATTAGGGTTGTCAATGATGACCTGCTGGTTAACTGGTTACTCGGTCAGAAGACCAATATATAGTAGGACATTAATTTACCCCCATTGGAGCTCCATGTTTGCCTAGCTTATACATACAAATTCACAATCGATGAGACAGAAGTTGGAGTTTTTGACAATAAAAACAGCTCAAAGGCTGAATCAATGGTTAGGATGTTGTTTTTTATCTGAGAGTAAGGATTGACAAAGAGATCATGCGGACCAGCCCATAAAATGCCTAAACTGATTTTAAAAAGGAGCCAGAATGCAAAGTAGTGAAATGGAAAATTTGCTGATAATATACAATGTCATATATTTATTGTTGTTTGAATACCAAACTGACATTACTGGATTTTTTTTCAAGTGACCAGTTACTAAAATTTGACCAGTTTGACAACCCTTCTATTTTCATACCTTAATCAATCAGTAGCCTTTTCATCTGATTCTAGTTTTAAAGTTAAATACCATAAAAGTTTTTATCAATCATGCTATATATGTTATATTAAAAGATTAAGTTCCTCTTGGTTCAGTGAACAGACCTGTTCCAACTACATTAGCTCAAGTTTGAATTATTCCAAAATAACCCATTCACCCTCATTTGAACCCTTCCAATTCAAAGGTTGGATTAGATCATTATACATTTTCAGGGGTGAATGCATTTAGGTATTAAAGGCTCTTTATTTGATTTAGAAACCCTTTGTGGTAACATTTTCTTACTCTATACCAACAAACATGAAAGACATATATATATTTTCCATCATGAAGACAATTTATTTTGCAGCCAAAAAGTAAATCTGAATTGTTTTTCTTTGAGAGCTTCAAGTACATACACTAAGAAAACAAAAGGTCAGAAATCTCTATATAGAAAAATATGTCTCACCAAGGTGTTTGTTCTATTTTCAAACAGTTTGTCCTGTTGTACCAGACCAAAAGGTGTGATGTTATTTTTTGGGTCTCTGAAGTCTAGTCATCCATGTACTGCATTACAACATTCGTCAGTTCACGAGACAGACAGAGGAGGAAGAACCAGTGTTTCTGCATAAACAAAAGGGGCACCCATCGCTGAATTTTCACTACTCGGAGCGACACATTGTGATATTTATGTACATAAATGTCGTAATCAGTTGATAATTCATCATGATAATCATACTGGATAGAATCTTTTGAACTCTTTTAAGACTTGGAGACAAAACATAAACATAGATACTACTTCTAATGTCCAGAGGGCCACGAGAGTTCTTTTTCATCCATCATCAAATATCCTGTAGATTTCTCCATAGAAATCTTGAGTAACGTTCCTGTCTAAGTTCTTACTGGACAGAGAAGCTAAAAATACAAATGAAGTAGGTATAATAAGTTATCATTTAAACTGTCAATTCACACTTCCTATCACAACAGATATTCCACATTCACCATCACAGGGCTAGTCAAGCCTCCCTTTCAAAACACGATTTATCACACTCCCATAGAAATCAACTCAAATTTCCTCTTTCACAGTATGTGATTCTTTAAATTTCAACACTGTGTCATTTTTCTCTTCAACTTGGGTTGCGATTGTCTGTGCAGCACTGTCAGCCATTTTGTCCATAACCTCTTCTGATTGGTCCATTTCAAATTCTACCCGAGTGTGAGCATTTGATGGAATTTTCATAGCTGGCGTCTTGGGTGGTACTTCCCATGGAGGTCCGGGTTTCATTGATACCTTAATACCATAAGGGTCATCAAGGTCGGCCTCACTTTCGTATCCATAGTCGTGCAAGAGACTCCTTGACTTGCCAGCCATAGGTATGTTCTTGGCTTCAAGGCCGTCTCTCTTTCCCAAAGGACTGAAGTTTGGCACAATGATGAAAGCGAAGGATAACACCAACACCTACGAAAGAGAAAAATCATCTCTTTTAGCATGTAAAATATATAGTTTGGCTAATAGGGACATTTCTTACAATGAAAACCCACAAATAAGACCCTTTCAAAACCAATTTAACACAACCACTATTGCAGTATCCACTTTGTACATATCAAATTTTATCATTTAACACTTTAAACATTTCATGAATAAGTGTAAAACTCTATAAAAAACATAAGCCCCGAGTCACTTACACGATTCCAGATATCAAATTCAACCATGTTTTGTGAAAAATGCTCTAGAAGATGATTAGTCTGAGCATACATGAAAATATTAGTTCATATGATATTAATGAAAGATGCCAAAAAAAGGAATCTTCCGAGGAGCTCCCCGTTACTAAGGAACTAACCACAGTTTCCCTGTGTTAACCGTGGAATTTCCCCCGTAAATATCATGAATTAACTTTTAACATTTACACCACTGAATGCATCACATCTAAAATTACTTACCATGATACATGTAGATGTTTGTGGTTTATTTGCCTTGGATAAAATGTATGATTGTAGTTTTTTCAGCTGCTGTGCGAGTGTTCTGAAGTAAAACAAAAAACACAGCATAAAAACTTGTAAATGCATGTTCAAGTACATTTGAACAAATTCGTTAGTGACACTAAATTCAAAGAAAGAATTTAATTATATAATGCAAAATTTATCACTTCATGTAAATCACTCTTGCTGGCACGATGGTTGCATGCAGAGGGTCTTAATGTAGGGCGAGGTATCCCTCACGTCACCAGTACTTGTAAACAAGGAACTCAAAATGACATAAAGTTGTTATTTTTCTCTCTTTGATCTTACAAAACAAAAGTTTTTCTAAGCTTAAGACTCATGCAACAGCAAAATCAATAAAGATATTTAAATAAATTATACTAAACAATCATAATTAACATGAGATTTAATTTACTCAAATTGTTTTTAAAACGAAAACTTTCCAAGACATTCTTACTTACTGGTTCTGATTTTCGAGGCTGGACACCTTAGTTTTTAGCTTTTGATTTTCTGTAGTGGACATTTTTACCCTCTTTTCTAGCCCCTCCACGTATCCCTGTTTCCTCTTTCGGCTTTCTTTGGCCGATACCTGCAATGCAAGAGAATAATTCGTCAGTCTACTTATAACAAGTACTTCAAAATTACCATAATTGATAATGTTGACTTCTGGGTAGGGCAATATATATTGTCCCAAGTCCCTGATTTGAATTGGGAAAAAAAATGAAATTGTCGATCGATTTATTTCATGTTACAGTTCAAATGATTTCACATCTAGCACAGCTATTTCTTCAGGGACTGGATGGAGGACTAATTTATACCCTCACTGAGGCATTTTGTTACAAATACCACAATTTTAAATGACATGAAGATAATGAAAGATCAACTTGTATTTTCATTTTCTACCGTAACCAATCCCATATAGATAAAATTTTAGGTCACTACCTCATCCATTTCTAATCTCATGGCATCCACTATATACAGTAGTGTAGTAATGCCAAGTAATACAGTCATAGGTAGACTCTCACCTTGTTTCTAATTTTCCTGCGGACCGCTTTGAGTACCTTCTCTTCCTCCTTCGTCAGAGGCATATCTGTTGGAAGCTGGACCCCTTCCCTGGCCAGCAAGTCTTTTTCCTCGTCTGTTAGTCGCAGATCTGGAAACTACACAAAGAGTAACTTTCTTTATACATTGTTGTATCTTAAAAGTAGAAATTTTGATCGTTTCACCCCTAGGTAACTTGAGTAGACTCTACCATTCATTGATCTGGATGAGTCTATTATGGTCTAGAGTGGTGAAAGGGTTAATATGATGATCCTCAGTTCATATACCACCTCACTTGACCAAACACACAGGGACCAGTGTATTGAAATCTGTTAAAATTGAACATACTTTGGGACCAATACAGAACAGTCTATATTAATTGGTCCCAGACATCAACAAGGCTGATATCTCCACACAGAAAAAGAGATACAGTTTACATCTTGTTGAAGGTCTAGATGCCTATTTGTCCAATCCTTGAAAACTCATGATAAGGCCATGGAAATGGCTCTTTTTACATTACTTATCAGTGTCTTTCAGAAACTTTGGAGTATATATACATGATAAGTGCTCAACGATTTACATAAAATATGTGATGCAGCCGAAGTTTAAAGTTTAAGGCATACCACGTTCATGGACATCGATAAATCTAATTCTGCAGAGTGGCTAATAATATAACATTATTTTCAATGTTCAAAACTATGGATTTGTGTGATTCGATACAAGGTAAGTGCAGACCTAACTTTTGATATCAGTGTTACATTTTTTTAACCGCTTCACTTTGTTTCCTATAATTTCATTCCAAGTACCTATAGGTACATTTTCAGGTTTTTTTGTTTTATATGCAATATGAAACGTAACATTTATGTACCATATATATTTATAAATAAATCTACTTCCAGTTCCAATTTGGTAAGCTGTGACATCTGGAATCAAAATGGCTAGACCAATATGTCAAGTCTGGGCCTATGACCGGTAAAACACAGGCGCGTATCCCCCCCCCGCCCCCCCAGCTACTATTGACATGTTTTATGCACAGGCTCCCAAGGCTTATCACCGGTAAAATAGGATAGGGTACATGTACTCTTACCTTTCCTGTTTTGGTACTGATGTCCTTCATAGTGAAGGGAAGGCCGTCTGTGAGGTGAGAAGTGACCTTAATGATACGGATAGTATTGGCCACATCTGACCCTTCATCTGAACTGTTCAGCTGATTATCGTCTGCAACAAACAGTTTAAAGGTTCATGTAATTACATACAAATGTACATGTAATAACATACAATTGTACATGTAATTATATACAACTGTACATGTAATTACATACAATTGTACATGTAATTACATACAATTGTACATGTAACCCCCCCCCGTAATTACATACAATTATACATGTAATTACATACAATTGTACATGTAATTATATACAACTGTACATGTAATTACATACAATTGTACATGTAATTACATACAATTGTACATGTAATTACATACAATTGTACATGTATATTCTACATTGTACATCACAAAACTTCTGTAATTTGTTTTCAAAAGGCAACTTCAAATCTTGCATTTGTCAAAGTAGAATAAGGTTTTCAAATAGCTATATATGTGTAAACAGACTCAATAATTTGAAAATCCTCTTCACATGGCATGAAAAAAATTGACTGTTTCTATAAATGTACATATTCCTTCCAAATAGTTCTATTCTATTAAAGTGACATGTTTGTGTAGAAATTACAAAATAAAAACTAATGTTAAAAATCCGGTTTGCATGCCACAAAGCAACTCCATCTAATATCTATGTAGGTGAAATATTTGTTCACCATTACTTCTTTCAAGTTAATGTAAATTAAATCCACTAGAATGAAAATATCTGTGGTGTATGAACATTGTGCACTAATGGAGGCATAAAAGTCATAAGTGCAGCATCAATGTTAAAATTCAGAGAGAGAAAATGAAATAAGTTTGTTATAAAATAACTTTGTGAGCTAGGTATGGCTTACTGAGCAATATGGAAGCGGAAAGTATTTGCACTGTAGATATATATATGCATCAATTCACTTATCCAATTTGAACCTCATTCTGAATAACGTGAAGCTCACAATAGGTAAATTTCCACTTTAGTGTGTGTGTGTGTGTGTGTGTGTGTGTGGGGGGGGGGGGGCATGAAGTCTTGCAGTACTTACCTAAACTGATAGTTACTGCTGCGCTGTCTTTTGTCTGTGAACTACGATTCATACAGGTTAAAAAATCTTCTTCACTGAGGAGGTCAGATGTATTTAAACCATCAACACCTTCCATGTCAAAGTCTTTCATGTTAAAGTCCTCCAGTGCAAGAGGACTGTGTTCTGATAATTTATCCATGTAGTCTACTGTTGAAATATTTGTTGACGAGTCTGATAAATAATACTCTTTCGGACTATTCTGTAATTGTTCATCGCCAAAGCTTTGTGGCGAGTACGCGCTGGATTCTAATGACACGCCACTGTCACTATTTGTTGGGGATCGCTGGGCAAAATAGTCATGGTCTGTATGGGTGGTAAATGTTTTCTGTTGAGGTTGGTCAATATCTATATCAGTGTCCAAGTCTCCCAGGTTTGCTTCCTTAAGGACACTTTCCAGCAGGTCACCATCTCCCTCCGAGAAAAGTCCAAGATCAGACTGTAAACAAAAATGTCAACATTTCTAAATGTGTTTTCTCCACAAATTACAATGCACTATTCTTGAATAGATAAAATCGGTACGCATATATTTAAATTTCTCACATGTTCACTTAGTAATGTTAGAAAGCTCCAACTAGATTTGAATATTGAATAAGCTATGACATGTAATGAGGTATTAGCTTCCTCTGAATAATATCAAAGTTACAAAATTGTACATGTCCAGGCGAAATAGAATTTAAATCAAATTTAATTTGTAATATAAAATCAATCAGTACCAGGACATTGTGAGTGAACAAGTTCCAGTCATCAGCTTTCATAGAAGAATTTGACATTTCACTGTCCGAATCAGACACATTGGAGTCGTAAAAACTCAATGAATCGTTCTCATCCCCACTGAGTTTTTGAGATATCATAAAATCATCAGTCGGGCAATAGTTATCCAGAATACAACTTTCCAATGCCATAATTGAAAATTAATTTTATGTTATCTTTTATGATGAAGTAGCACTTCTGTTCAGATTTACACAAATTTTTTTTCTCTCATTAAAGCAGTTATGTACACAAATTAAAGATCCATGGCAGTGCATACACAGCTAGTATGTTTTAGAAATTTAAATGAAAAGCTCCAATTCGGAGCCCCTGAAGTAAAGGCTGTGTGTGGTAATTCCTATGATCACGGAATTAAATTGCTATCTAAGTCTGTGCTATGATTGATACATTTCCTGAATGATGATGTGTAACAAATCCATTGACTCGGGCATGATGAAATGTCACTGTGCGAGTCCCTGACTACACATTATCCTTACAGGCATGAGTCATGACCATAACTGATTCACAATGAAATATAAACACTTTGTAGAATAAATCCATCTACTACAGCTGGTGTCAAACATTGTGACAAAATAGTAATGCTAGATGCTCCATTCGTGCAAAATATACCTTAGCAGCAGCTGGTTTGCATTGATTTATGAAAATGGTAGCTTTTACAGCCAGAGGGAAGTGATTTTTTTTATTAATTTGATATGGACTTCTATTGGAAATACTAGTAATCTAAAGCCATTAAATACTGACATGAAGCGGTCAAATCAAACTTACGAAATCGACTGTTTGTATCCCTTGAACTTCGGATTTCAACAGTCCATCACTGTCATTAAAAAGCAAGTCCAAAACTTGATCTGGGTCAGATCTGACCGCCATCTTTCTTGTTTACGGTGTTATTGTAATACGTAAATGCTGTACATACAATTTCGCCGTCGTGGATAATCTATCGTCACATGAGAACACGTCACCGATCAAAACAGAAACTTCATTCGTCAAAATCTCCACGTGTATCGGTGTATATAAAGCACTGCCAGTCCTCTTGTGCAATACGTATGCATTTAGCCTATCGACCAGGAAATACAACGCTGTTTACGTCGGTTGCCAATGTACTTTAGGAAAACATTTGCAAAACAACAAGTTTTAAACGTTTAAATATTATCAAAATATGTCCAGTGGTGCCGTAACAAATGTGTCATGTATGTAAAATCAATGTCAAAGTTTCAACGTTCCCCTCTTTACCATCGTTGGCCGATTTCGTCGAGGAATTTGTTCTAAATTTAGCGTCGGTGTCATCATCCAAGACACACCGCCTATGACGTGGAGGCGGAAGTAAACAATGGACTTTCGGAATATTGATTTTATATTTTAAAGACACCAAAACACTCAAGATGTTCCGAAATGAAATGTAACCCTCTAACCAAACGTTTTTGTTTTCATCTTACACCTACGTCCCCTCCCTCCCTTCCCCGCCTTTGTTTTTCATATTGTAAAAATTATAAACGTTCAAGATACGTACCTTTCTTATCGATCTTTTATACATATTCTCATGTTTTTATGGGACACTACTTATTATTGCGGGAAAATATGAAGTTATCCCCTGGACTCATTTCAGTAAATTTAGACATGTTCAGCTTCAATTTGTAAATTTTTTTAATGAAATAATCATAGAAAGATCTACCATTCTAAATATAAAACTGGCAAACATACATTTTTAATATGTGACTCACTTGGTGTCTTTTATTTTTGATAATGTATGTATTTCATCCGCAATGTGATCACTGTACCGTATCTTCATGGTTTACCGTAAGATTACATGTGAATATTTTAGGAATAAAATTATATTCTCAACACCATAAGAACATATTATTAGGGACTATTCCGTATGCAGATTACAGGGCGGGACTGTACAGAGTGGCGATTGCAGGACTGGACTTTACAGTTTACAAGACAATTACAGGACGGGACTGTACATGTATATTGTGACGATCACAAGACGGGATTGTATAGTATGGCGATAACAAGACGGGACTGTACTGTCTCATAATTTGCGTACTTTGTAAGCTAACTCTCCACTTTATCAATTTAAATTTGTATACAAATCGCTTGTACATGTACTATATGATGTAATTGTTTGATATTCAACCTATGAGTCGGATGGCTCTTGAAAATAAAGATTAAAGAATAAAAAATGTGTGACGACTACAGGACGGGACTGTACAGTGTGACGATTACAGGTCCATACTGTACAGTGTGACGATTACAGGTCCATACTGTACAGTGTGACGATTACAGGACGGTACTGTACAGTGACAGTGTGACTATTACATGACGGGCCTCACCTGTACAGTGTGACGATTACAGGACCATACTGTACAGTGTGACGATTACAGGACGGGACTGTACAGTGTCAGTGTGACGATTACATGACGGGACTGTAGGGGCCTACAGTATGACGATTACATGACGGGATTGTATAGTGTGACAATTACATGACGGGCTTCACCTGTACAGTGTGAGGATTACAGGACGGGGCTGTACAGTGTCAGTGTAACGATTACATGACGGGACTGTACAGCGTGACGGTTACAGGACAGGGCTGTACAGTGTCAATGTGACGATTACATGACGGGCCTCACCTGTACAGTGTGACGATTACAGGACCATACTGTATAGTGTGACGATTACAGGACGGGACTGTACAGTGTCAGTGTGACGATTACATGACGGGACTGTAGGGGCCTACAGTATGACGATTACATGACGGGACTGTATAGTGTGACAATTACATGACGGGCCTCACCTGTACAGTGTGAGGATTACAGATCGGGGCTGTACAGTGTCAGTGTAACGATTACATGACGGGACTGTACAGTGTGACGGTAACAGGACAGGGCTGTACAGTGTCAGTGTGACGATTACATGACGGGATTGTATATTGTGACGATTACAGGAGGGAACTATATACAGTAAGACAATTACAGGACGGGACTGTATACAGTGTGACGATTACAGGACGGAAATATACAGTAAAACAATTACAGGACGGGACTGTACAGTGGCGATTACAGGACGGAACTATACAGTAAGACAATTACAGGACGTGACTGTACAGTGTGACGATTACAGGACGGGACTGTATAGTGTGACGATTACAGGGCGGAACTATACAGTAAGACAATTACAGGACGGGACTGTACAGGGTGACGATTACAGCTAGGACGGAACTATACAGTAAGACAATTACAGGACGGGATTGTTCAGTGTGACGATTACAGGACGGAACAATACAGTAAGACAATTACAGGACGGGACTGTACAGTGTGATGATTACAGGACGGAACTATACAGTAAGACAATTACAGGACGTGACTGAACTGTGTGACGATTAAAGGACGGGACTGTATAGTGTGACGATTACAGGACGGAACTATACATTAAGACAATTACAGGACGTGACTGTACAATGTGACGATTACAGGACGCAACTATACAGTAAGACAATTACAGGACGGGATTGTACAGTGTGTCGATTACAGGACGGAACTATACAGAAAGACAATTACAGGACGGGACTGTACAGTTGCGATTACAGGGCGGAACTATACAGATAGACAATTACAGGACGGGACTGTACAGTTGCGATTACAGGCCGGAACTATACAGTAAGACAATTATAGGACGGGATTGTACAGTGTGACGATTACAGGATGGGACTGTATAGTGTGACGATTACAGGGCGGAACTATACAGTTAGACAATTACAGGACGGGACTGTACAGTTGCGATTACAGGGCGGAACTATACAGTTAGACAATTACAGGACGGGACTGTACAGTTGCGATTACAGGACGGAACTATACAGTAAAACAATTACAGGATGTAACTGTACAGTGTGACGATTACAGGACGGGACTGTATAGTGTGACGATTACAGGGCGGAACTATACAGTAAGACAATTACAGGACGGGACTGTACAGTGTGACGATTACAGCTAGGACGGAACTATACAGTAAGACAATTATAGGACGGGATTGTACAGTGTGACGATTACAGGACGGAACAATACAGTAAGACAATTACAGGACGGAACTGTACAGTGTGATGATTACAGGACGGAACTATACAGTAAGATAATAACATGACGGGACTGTACTGTGTGACGATTAAAGGACGGGACTGTACAGTGTGACGATTACAGGACGGAACTATACACGGAACTATACAGTTAGACAATTACAGCAGTGTGACGATTACAGGACGGGACTGTATAGTGTGACGATTACAGGACGGAACAATACAGTAAGACAATTACAGGACGGGACTGTACAGTATGACGATTACAGCTAGGACGGAACTATACAGTAAGACAATTACATGACGTGACGGTACTGTGTGACGATTAAAGGACGGGACTGTACAGTGTGACGAGTACAGGACGGAACTATACAGTAAGACAATTACAGGACGGGACTGTACCGTGTGACGATTACAGCTAGGACGGAACTATACAGTAAGACATTTACAGGACGGGATTGTACAATGTGACGATTACAGGACGCAACTATACAGTAAGACAATTACAGGACGGGACTGTACAGTGTGGTGATTACAGGACGGAACTATACAGTAAGACAATTACAGGACGGGACTGTACAGTGGAGATTACAGGACGGAACTATACAGTAAGACAATTACAGGACGTGACTGTACTGTGTGACGATTAAAGGACGGGACTGTATAGTGTGACGATTACAGGACGTGACTATACAGTAAGACAATTACAGGACGGGACTGTACAGTGTGACAATTACAGGACTAGACTCAATGACATATGTAGTCCTGATTAAAGAAAGAGGTGTATGCTATCATAATGCATGCATGGATATTTATGTTGGAAAATTTCAAATTAACTTTTTCAACAATAATACTTCCAAAAGGTCTTGGCAAGACGTTGGTGCGAGATACTTGTATGTTCTGTAAGTACTCAATAGGCGAAGTGTCTCTTGGTGGCATATTTTTCGGTCCATTTGCAATACCCTGTGTTAATATACCTTATGGTCTAAAGAATGTTTGAAGAACTCTTATCCATGGGTGTTGTATGTCAGCCATTCTCATGATGAAGTCTCGTTACCTCATAGACAATGAGGTCAGAATCCCTTTCTTTTGAGGAATTTTTTTTGAGAGAAATCACTTGAAAGAACTATCCCCACCCACTTACAATAATATCAATGCAATAGTTAGTCAGAAATCTCGCATGCGAGTCTGTAAAGCACCAATCTGTCACTTATTTTTTTAATGGAGTACACAGATTTGACGGCGGGAAGACTTGTGTGGTCATACTGCTATCTGATTGGTCGATGGATTCCGCACTATAACTTAGTCACATATGACAGTATTCTGACGAGACTTGGTCAATATTTACACTTTGTCTCATAGCGAAATATGCCGGTAATTAATGAACAACAGAAATATCTTTGGGTTTAATGGTGTTAGATGAATCGATTATTGGCAAAACAGGTCAATTTCAATTTCTATTTTCATGCATGGTTTGAAATATACCGTAAAAACTCGTGTAATTTGCGCAGGTACGTTTTTGGGCTGAAAATACCGAAAAAATACCGGAAAAATGACTTCCGACACGAATCTTTGACACATATATCTACTTTCTCATATCATTTATTAATTAAATGTGTTATTTGTTTAAAAAAAATAATTACTTAAGATCTTTATACAGATGCAACATCAGACCAAACACGTGCGCGTGTCGGCACACACCAACGACACAACCAATAAGACAATTCCTATAAAAAAAAACTCTGTTTACTTCCTCCATTCACTACTTTTCAGAAATAGTTCTCAACTTGAATGAGTAAAACAGTACAAGTGTTGTTTCTTCTCATATTTCCATATCATCATACATTTAAAGACAATAATGCATCACAAGGTTTTTTTCTAAAAAAAGTATATGATATTGGCATTTGACGAACGCATATTGTTTATAGTGTCACCATAGTTGCAACAGTGTTAAGAATGAGAGAAATGCATCTGTATAGAGAGTAACGTCACTGTACCCAAAACGGGAGACTTTTTAGATAAATATCAACGAACTTTATACCATACTAACATGCAATTTCAAAAATGTTTGTTCATTTTTCCTAAATAGATACCATCCACTTTTCATTTTTATTACAAGTTGGTATTTCCGGCGCGTGGTTTTATAAATAGAAACGCGAAATACTACTATCAGGGTTAATTACGTTGGCCCTTGAACAAGTGTTTGTGTGTGTTGGTAGTTATTCTTATTTCTAAATTAT